GTTGTTTATCAGATTTAGGTGTTCTCTGGTGGAAGTTTTGGGGTCACTTAAGTATACTATCATATCACCTGAAAATAGTGAAATTTTGATTTCTTCCTTACCAATATGTATCCCTTTGAACTTCTTTTGTTGCCTAATTGCTCTGGCTAGGACTTCCAGTACTATATTGAATAGGTAGGGAGAGAGTGGGCAGCCTTGCCTAGTTCCTGATTTTAGTGGAATTGCTTCAAGTTTCTCTCCATTTAGTTTGATGTTGGGTACTGGTTTGATGTATATTGCTTTTACAATGTTTAGGTATGGGCCTTGGATTCCTGATCTTTCCAAGACTTTTATCATGAAGGGGTGTTGAATTTTGTCAAATGCTTTCTCAGCATCTAGTGAGATGATCGTGTAGTTTTTTCTTTGAATTTGTTTATATAGTGGATTACATTGATGTATTTTTGTATATTGAACTATACCTGCATTCCTGGGATAAAGCTTACTTGATCATGTTGGATGATTGTTTTGATGTGTTCTTGGATTCGGTTTGTGGGAATTTTATTGAGTATTTTTGCATCAATATTCATAAGGGAGATTGGTCTGAAGTTCTCTTTCTTTGATGGATCTTTGTGTGGTTTAGGTATGAGCATAATTGTGGCTTCATAGAAAAAAATAGGTGGTGTTTCTTCTGTTTCTATTTTGTGGAATAGTTTGAAGAGAATTGGTATTAAGTCTTCTTTCAAGGTGTGATAGAACTCTGCACTAAAACCATCTGGTCCCAGGCTTTTTTTTGGTGGGGAGATTTTTAATAACTGCTTCTATTTCTTTAGGGGTTATGGGACTGTTTAGATGGTTTATCTGGGCCTGATTTAACTTTGGTACCTGGTATCTGTCTAGAAAATTGTCCATTTCACCCAATTTCCAATTTTGTTGAGGATAGGCTTTTGTAGTAGGATCTGATGATTTTTTGAATTTCCTCAGTTTCTGTTGTTCTGTCTCCCTTTTCAGTTCTGATTTTATTAATTTGGATACTGTCTCTCTGCCCTCTGATTAGTCTGGTGAAGGGTTTAACTATTTTGTTGATTTTCTCAAAGAACCAGCTCCTGGTTTTATTGATTCTTTGTATAGTTCTTTTTGTTTCTACTTGGTTGATATCGGCCCTAAGTTTGATTATTTCCTGTTGTCTACTCCTCTTTGGTGTGTTTGCTTCTTTTTGTTCTAGAGCTTTCAGGTGTGTTATCAAGCTGCTAGTGTATGCTTTCTCCAGTTTCTTTTTGTAAGCACTCAGAACTATGAGTTTTCCCCTTAGCACGGCTTTCATTGTGTCCCAGAAGTTTTGGTATCATGTGTCTTCATTTTCATTAAATTCTAAAAAGTCTTTAATTTCTTTCCTTATTTCTTTCCTGACCACATCTTCATTGAGTAGAATGTTGTTCAGTTTCTACGTGAACGTGGGCTTTCCATTGTTTTTTGTTTGTTTGTTTGTTTTGTTTGTTATTGAAGACCGACTTTAGTCCATGGTGATCTGATAGGATGCATGGAATTATTTCAATTTTATCGTTTCTATTGAGATCTGTTTTGTGACCAATTATATGGTCTATTTTGGGGAAGGTACCATGAAGTCCTGAGAAAAATACATGTTCTCTTGTTTTAGGATCAAATGTTCTATAGATATTTGTTAAATGCATTTGGTTCATAACTTCTGTGAGTTTCACTGTATCTCTGTTTAGTTTCTGTTTCCATGATCTATCCATTGTTGGGAGTGGGGTGTTGAAGTCTCCCAATATTGTTGTGTGAGGTGCAATGTGTGGTTTGAGCTTTAGTAATGTTTCTTTTATGAAAGTGGGAGCTCTTGCATTTGGCCCATAGATGTTCAAAATTGAGAGTTCATGTTGGTTGACTTTTCACTTGACGAGTATGAAATGTCCTTCCTTATCGTTTTTGATGGCTTTAAGTTGAAGGTCGATTTTATTCAATATTAGAATGGCTGCTTCAGCTTGTTTCTTAGGACCATTTGCTTGAAAAATTGTTTTCAAGCCTTTTACTCTAAGGTAGTGTCTGTCTTTGTCACTGAGGTGGGTTTCCCATATGCAGCAAAATGCAGGGCCCTGTTTATTTATCTAGTCCATTAGTCTATGTCTTTTTATTGGGGAATTGAGTCCATTGATGTTAAGAGATATTAAGGAGAGGAGATTGTTGCTTCCTGCTATTTTTGTTATTAGAGGTGGCATTGTTTGTGTGGCTATCTTCTTTTGGATTTGTTGGAAGAGGATTACTTTCTTGCTTTTTCTAGAGTATAATTTCCCTCCTTGTATTGGAGCTTTCCCTCTATTATCCTTTGTAGTGCTGGGTTTGTTGAAAGATATTGTGTAAATTTGGTTTTGTTATGGAATATCTTGATTTCTCCATCTATGGTAATTGAGAGTTTTGCTGGGTATAGTAGCTTGGGCTGACATTTGTGTTCTCTTAGGGTCTGTATGATGTCAGTCCAGGATCTTCTGGCTTTTATAGTATCTGGTGAGAAGTCTGGTGTAATTCTGATGGGTTTGCCTTTATATGTTTCTTGGCCTTTTTCCCTTACTGCTTTTAATATTCTTTTTTGTTTTGTGCATTTGGTGTTTTATTATGTGGCAGGAGGTATTTCTTTTCTGGTCTAGTCTATTTTTCATTCTCTAGGCTTCTTGTATGTTTATGGGCATCTCGTTCTTTAGGTTAGGGAAGTTTTCTTCTATAATTTTGTTGAAGATATATATTGACCCTTTAAGTTGGGAATCTTCACTCTCTTTTATACCTATTATCCTTAGGTTTGATCTTCTCATTGTTTCCTGGACTTCCTGGATGTTTTGAATTAAGATCTTTTTGCATTTTGTGTTTTCTTTGACAATTGTGTCAATTTCTATAGTATCTTCTATACTATAGTATCTATAGTATAGTATCTATATATCATATATATATATATATAGTATCTTCTATAGTATCTTCTGCATATGAGATTCTCTCTTCTATCTCTTGTGTTCTGTTGGTGATGCTTGTGTATATGACTCTTGATTTTCTATCTCCAGGGCAGTCTCCCTTTGTGATTTCTTTATTGTTTCTACTTTCATTTTTATGTCCTAGATGGTTTTGTTCAATTCCTTCACCTGCTTAGTTGTGTTTTCTTATAATTCTTTAAGGGAGTTGTGTGTTTCCTCTTTAAGGGCTTCTACCTGTTTACCTTTGTGTTCTCCTCAATTTCTTTGAGAGTATTATTTATGTTCTTCTTAAAGTCCTCTTCCATCATCATTAGAAATCATTTTAAATCTGAATCTTGCTTTCTTGGTGATATGGAGAATTCAGGACTTTCTATTGTGGGAGAACTAGGTTCTGATGATGCCAAGTACCCTGTGTTGCTGATGCTTATGTTCTTGTGCTTGCCTTTTGCCATTTGGATCTCCTTAGTGCTGCCTGGGCTGTCTCTGACTGGAGCCTGTCTTTCCTATTATCTTGGTTGTGTCAGAACTGTTTGGGGTGGGTGTTGCTGCTCGGGTCTGCTCAGTTCTAGGGCACAGACTGGAAGGAACCAGGGCCCTGGGCCAGGTATGAAATCCTGGGTCCCAGTGGGTTCCAGTTGCTCCTTGTTTGGGGTGGGTGTTGCTGTCTCCTTACCTAAGATACTGCCAGGATTAGAGCTCCTGGGTGCCCTGCCTCCTCTGGGTTTTGTTATATTGGGTGCAGAGCTGAAGCAGATCCTGGGACCTGCTCAGTGCTCGGGCACAGACTGGAAGGCGACACATGATTATCATTTTTAGTGAGTATGCCTGTTCACAATCATGTATGGGGTTCTTTGTGCACATTCTTTGCTGAAAATCACACTGAGATCCCCCATCTATTCTCTGGCAATGATGTCATACCCACATAAGCTGTTTGGCTAAAGAAGGATCTGGTACAAACTTAGAAATTGCAAACTCTCATCTCTATTAAGTCAAATCTAGGTTAGCTTTGTGATTGAAACTGAGAATGACTGTTTTGTGCCTTCCATGTAATTGAATGAATTGGACAAGGTCTTTATTTCTGACATATCTTCTGTGGTTTAGCCTTAGTCGATGATCTCAGGAATTCTCCATGCCTTACATAGCGAGCTCCCCAGGATTTTTTTTCATGCACTGTATTACAGATCCTGCTTTTAAGGAGCATTTTATCTCCTTCATTGAATCACATCTTGTCAAGTCTCAGGAACATTTGGTTCATAATTGCACATTGCTTTCAGCTTTAGTGTACAGTGTAGGCCGTTTGCTCCCCATGTTTTGGTTGTTAGTGTGCAGACATCTGAGCAGCAGCTCCCACTTCTGTTCTCGTCTGCTATTTACTGTTGCCTGTGCTGTCTTCCTTCCCTGTCACACCTGTGCTCCTCGACAGCAGTGGCTCCTCCTCTTTCTCTAGGAAACCTTTGACAATGCCTAGATACAGTTTTCACTGTCAAAATGGGAAGACTCCTTTTGGCATCTGAGCAGATGACTTCACAGAAGCAGTTATAAATCCCATAACAGTCAGTATGCTCCCTCCCAAATTAAAAAAAAAAAGAATCTTATCTGACCCAAAATATCAATAGCATCAAGACTGGGGAAATTTTTGTTTAGAAACTGGCTTCATATTTATAAATTGAACTTTCAGATTTCTCTCATGTGTAACACCCAATAGCCTTGATTCAGGCTAGCTACTTAGTTGAAAAAAAGAGATGATACCTCAAGACATTTCTGGCACATGCAATGCATCTCCATGAGAAACATTTTTTCTTGTTGGTAACAGTGCTTCATGGACATTTTGATACTATACCGTAGTTACATAGACTAGAGGGAACTGAAGCATCATCAGATAAAGGGTAAAACTGAAGTGAACAGTAAGATTTCTCTTATATAGTCTTTGCTCCAAAGGACATTTCTTGTTTTGAAAGTTATATTTGCAGAAATGTTGCAGGAAAACGCCATAGGAAGTGTCATGCTGACTCTGTCTCCTGGTTTTCTCCCTTACTTTTTATCCTTTAGATATTTCACATTTTCAAGAACAAAATGATTTAAAAGGACTGTTAGACAATCTCCACCAAAATATTCAAGCCAAAAAAAGGAAGAATGTAGAAATCATGTGGCTGGCAGCAACGGTAAGTACTTCTGTCCACCTTTTCTCCCAACATGGCATCACCAACAAGTGTTATCAGGAACTCATCACACAGGGTCTAAGGCTATGAACTTAATAAAGCATCATTACTTCCTTAGTCATCTTATCAATTGAGATAAAGAAAGATGACCTCAACAGGGGAAAAATACTCCTTCTTGACCCTCTATAGCAACATTGGATTTGTTCGGCAGTTCAAGGTAAAAAGAATGTATCTGTGATTTTCTTGGTGTTACCTGTTATAGACAATTGTCAATGTTCTATAATAAGCAGAAGTTTGAACTGCCAGGGTAGAGACATGAGATTCCAATTGTTTAGTTATCAGATTCCTGACTTAAGGCTCATGGACATATTGTTTAGTTAATGAGCGTGTAAATGTGTTTGTTAAATTAGGTGTTGGCATAACATTTATTACTGCTTGATGGTCATGGGGATAACTTGCTGAACTGCGTATGGTTCTCTCTCACTTAATGGCACCCTCAGGGTGGAAGATCTGCCTGTTTTCCTGCCTAGATTTTCGCACGAATTAGGGAGAGAATCATGCTTGTGTTCTTAAGCTCTTATCTGGCAATTTGAAACAGAGTTCATATTAAATTTATAACTTTTAAAAATTATTAAAAATCTCAGGTCCCAGGGACTTTCTTTCGGAAAGTATCCTGTCACCAGGAAAGATGCCCTGGAGACCTCTTGATGAGCATCTTGTTTGTCACCTTGGTCGCGTCACTCCTACAATTTGGAGTTCAGGTTCATTAGCTTTGCAGCACATGCTCCATCAAAGGCATTTATATCAGCCTTCCTATACTTCCCAAAGTTGCATAGTCTTTTCTAGAACAGGGGAACCATGTGTAATAATCAACCAAGAACACGGCAGAGGAAAGCACCCGTCATGCCTCCCTGGTGTGCTGGGAAAGAACATCAAAGGGAGCAGAAGTAGGCACCCCTGCCTTCAGATGGGCTGTTTACACTGGTCATGCTCTGCACCACAGTGGTTTCAGAATTATGGGTATCTTCAGAGACCACCGTGGTTATTAATTACAGGAAGCTTAATGTCCTTTTGCATGTTTTGCTGGAAACATTACAGCATACAAGAAGTCTGATCATTTGCAAGGCACTCCAATATCTGGAGGCCATATGAGTATCACATTGGAAACATGTGGTAAAATCATCTAAAAAGACAAAGCAATGATAGATTAGAAAACTGAATGAATATCTTCTCTTAGGATACGCATTTTCCCGATTGGATATATAAACATTTCCCATCAAGCTTGCATATTTCTAAAACGTTTTTCTGATATGCATACCAATCACACGGAGTCCTTATACTGCTCACAGTTGATTATGTAATTCCTAGCACTGCTGTAAGATGAAAGCTTAGTTTCAATATCAGCTTTCTAAACATTACAATTTAAATTATACTCTTAAAATGAAGAAATACTGGAATCCCTCTGACATTACCAAAAAGCTTTTACTTCTGTGTGCCTGTTTCCTCTCTTTATATCTGTCTAATGAAATACTGCCTTTGCCAATGTTTTACAGTCTAATTAAAACACCAAAGTTGCTTGATGTTTTTCTTGATTTAATTTAAATAATAAAATGGGAAATATTTAAGAAACCAAATGTAATCTGAGTATATACAAGCAAACTTGTATCTTAAAATCATGTTTGTCCTTGGTACTATAGAGAAACATCCTGCATCTGACTTTAAATGCCGACCACTAAGTATCTCAAGAAGATACACCTTATAGTGAAAGTGGCACTATATTTTAAAGAATATTAATTATTTTAAAAATTAATTGTCTATTAAGGTCTATTTTATGACTGTAGATATAAACAGCTTTTGAAAATGTGAGTATTTATCTGAAAGAACTAATCTTTTTCTATGTAAAAAGAGATTATACGATAAAAGCATAGTCTCAGTTTTCTCTAGTCACTTTTATTGAAAGTAAAAAAGAGTGAAAACCTGAATTAATAGGGACATATAAATCTTAATTTAAGTACCAGAACCACAATTAAAATACAGTGAAAAAATTCACAATAAAAACTGTTTTATGTTTCCTCTCTGAGCAGGCACTTTTAAGGCCTCGTTGATTACAGATAATAAAGTAGATGGTTATTGTGTCACATTAAATTTATCTTAAACGCACGTTGATTAGCATTGCTGATGCTGCAGTTTGTTATTGGTATCTCATCTCAGAAAGCCATCATGCCTAAGAAAATGGAGCAGAGAGGTCTACATGTGAAGCGTAGGACAGTGAGAAAATAAGCAATTCTGAGTTGGAGACTCTTTTCTGTCTTATAAGAAGATTCACATAGGAACACCAGACATGCAAATGTTAAAACTTGGAACTTCATGAGGCCTTCTGACATCAGTGATGAGATTTGGGCTGGCTGATCTTAAAAACAACTAGACTTCAAGTAAACATTCAAGAATGTGACCTAAGAACTCAAGGGCTTGCTTCATTTATAGCTAAGCTGTTGCTTCTGAGCTGCAAGTGGCATTTATGCAAATCAGCAACGCTGCATACCTCCTCTGTGGGGTTTGTGACAGCTCATACAGTGGTAGGGATCACTTCACTCAAAGATATAAACTAGTCAAAGCAAGTCCTCTAACTTGGAGAATGAAAAGGGGGTATGTTTATGCTTGATAGGGTGGATGGGACTGCCTGACTCCCTGTTTTCATTGGGGTCTTGCAGATTTGTCGCAAACTCAATGGCATTCGTTTTACCTGCTGTAAAAGTGCCAAAGACAGGACATCAATGTCGGTGACTCTGGAACAGTGCTCCATCCTGAGAGATGAGCATCAACTGCACAAAGACTTTTTCATCCGAGCATTAGATTGCATGAGAAGGTATCGTATATGTCTAAAATTGTTTTTATATTATGATCGCTTTTTGTTATTTTAAGACACATACCTCACTAGAAGACTAAACACTGGATGACTCCATTGTATTTCCACATTTTAAACTTGAAGCATTCCCCTCTATTCATTTGTAACAATAAAAGGAAATGCAACCATGTATACACTCAGTATGGTACATGGAAGGCATATACTATTATTTCTGCATCCTGAGTTAAAGGGCTGTGCCTAGCTAAGACACCCTTAAGGAGTACAGTTTCTTTACATGTTTGAGTATGTACAAAATAAAACTAGGTCAGCAGACAAACAAAATCTCTCCAGATTACAACTAAGAGATCTTCTACCCATGGCTGGCAGAGTCTTTGCATTGATGGCATTCTCTGTTGGAAAGACAGATAATTTAAATAGCCAATGTTACAGCCTTGCTGACATTTAAAATGGTGTGTCCTGAGTCATATCTTGATTAATTTCTACAGTAACTAAATCGGAACTAGAAGGAAGCCATAATGGAGAGAGAAAGTGTCTCATTCAAAATGTCTATCAGCAAAACCACATGTTACTATAAAAGTGACACGGCAGAGATATGCACAGAAGAAGTTTCTAGGTTCCACTCAGAGCTGCTGCTTGCCAGTCTTACCATTAGCTGGACTTTCTTTTTTCAGTTCTCGTTCTCCCAGTGGAGACACAGATGTGTGCCTGTAGCAGATGTATGCCTGCATTGCTGCAATGCCATGCTTTCCACTCCCAAGAGGCTCTAGATGTCTTCTGTTTTACATCTGTTCATGTTTCCTTGTGTTACCATTGTCCAGTAGATGCCCACCATCAGTTTTGATAACCATTTATTTGAGAAGGGTTTAGAAGCCTGCCATGAACATCTCAGCCATATAAAATAAAATTCTTCGCTAAAAATGTCTTTCAAAATTAACCTTTCAATGCTAATGGGGAAAATACTGAATGTGCAGATGAAAGCTTATGTGCAGAGAAAGAACACAGATGTCACTAGGGATGCTTAGCTATTGGAAGAGCACAGTAAATAGGCCAGGGCAGCACAAGATAGATTACATGACTGATCAGTTATCTGGACAGTGAAACAGTTGTCTGTAATCTATTTGTTTAACATAGGAAGAACACTAGGACTCCTAAATTAGAAAGCATATTCTTCAAACAGGTAAACAAAAGGTGTGCGTTCATATGTATGCTGAACCATAAGAATGTGTATTACATGCGTTTGCTCATAATTGGCATTACATATGAAACTTATTTGCTCATGATGTGGCATGTATGGAAGTTTGTGATTTGGAATTGCTTTTAAAAATTAAAATGATAGAGATTTACCTAAATACAATAATATCTTTTAAATTTGATGTCTCTATTACTGAGGGCTGACTTTCAAGTAAATAAAATATATCCCTTAGTTTTGTATATCTGAAGTAGTTATTTTAAGGGTTTCTTTGGAAATGAGTGTAGGTGTGTACAAAACAGTAAAGCTTGTTGATTTAAGAAAACAGAAACATATAACTTGCCTGTGTTTCCCTCTTTGCATATATGGCTTTGTACAACAAGCTCATAGAAACATATGTGCTATGAGTACAGTAGAGGAGGCAAGAGTTTAGGGCTTGGAGCCAGTCGGTAAAGGTTGAATCCAGGCTTCACTGTACACTACTCAGGACCAGTCCATCTCATCCCCTGTTTGTGCCTTGGTTAGTCAACCTCCTGATGCCTCAATGTCCTCTTGTGAATACAGTCGTAAGGATAGAAATCACTCCCTGGGAATGTCATGAATTAGAAGACCTGAAGAAGGCAAAGTGACGAAACAAATGTTTGACACAACATAAGCTACATTTATTAAATAAAAACCAAATGTTATTCTTTTGATACTCTGATCTTGCAGCTTAAATGACATCTATGTATAGCCTTTGTAGACTTATATTTGTGAATATGCTGAAATTTAAGTTACACTCTAGTACTACATATTAAATTCTATGTGTTTTACACATGTAAAACAACTAGCCTTTAAAAAAGTGCATGTGTTTACAAATACTATACTAAGTATGGAAATGCACATGTCATAAGAAGCCTGGGAAGGTTCCTTGTAAACATTAATATTTATATATATTATTAGATGTCCTTACAAAGAATCATGGGCTTTGGTCCCCAAATGTCATCTTGAAACTTTCTCCTATCAGACAATAGACCTGATATCAAGAGTGACATTGAACACTCAGAGAGCATTAAATCTAGCCAACTGTAGGTCCGCAATCACATTCATCCTCTGTATCAAGTGAGATGAACTGAAATTATTTTATTATGTATTTAAATATCTGAAGTTCATTAGTTAAAGTAGAAATCATGTAACAGAGTCATGTGCTTTTGGGACGTCAAGGTTATGTGCAAAAGCAGAGTGCTTTGTGCCCATTTTATGGCCCATGGAGAATCAACTGTAATGGTGGGATTTATATTCCTTCATTTCTATAATACTATGGAGCATGCATCAGGACACCACAGAGGCTATCTCGTCTTCCCACACAGACAGCAGTTTCTCAGGAACAATAATATCTCAACTTGGATGAATTTAATTGATTACCAGAATCTTGAAGTGGTAATTTTTGATCATTGAAATGGTCCAGCTTTTATTTTATGGTGACTAAGCTGTTTGCTAACCTCTCTATGCCACAATCTGTGAAGTCCTACTCACCAGATCTTGATCTTTAAATGATTATCAAACACCTTCAGATAGGTATAAAATTACTTACCTTTAGAGACTGCAGCAGGTGTGGACATCTAAGTTAGCTAAGAACGTGATCAGTATTCTAGGCCATAAGATTGAATTTAATAATATTTAAAGCTTTTAGTTAATGTATGTATGTCTTTGTGTGTGTGTGTGTGTGTGTGTGTGTGTGTGTGTGGTGTGTTGGTATGTTTATGGAGCCCAGAAGAAAACAAACTTATCAATGTAGGGTCTCTCCTACCATGTGAGGTTCAGAAATGGAATTCCCTTCTTAGGATAAGCAGGAGCACTTTCTCCTGATCCATCTACCTGGCCTCAATGTTTTAATTTTTACTGTTTGTTTCCACATTTTTAATTTTTAGCCAGTTTGCCTACTTTTTCAAAATTCTGTCAAAGCTACCATGGGTTATTCTCTCGTGCTATTGATGACAGCAGTGACCTGCAGCTCCTAGTCAATCACACAAGTACAAGGGGGACACAATGCCATGTGGTGCTTTGTCACTAGGATACAATGCCATCAGTCCAGGCTCATTAAATACTGAGACAGCTTATTGCACTGGCAACTCACAGAGGGCTTCCTGGGACTGGATGCTGTCACAAGCTGAGGTCTGTATTGCTTTCAGTGGCATGCTCATGACATGATGATGTGTTTGATCAAGATGGTGAATTTCAGACCATCTCTTCATGTGAGAGAGCCAGCGAGAAACCTGATTGTGTCTTACTCAGTCAGGATCTCTTAAGGATGACTGTTTTACAGGGTAATTATTATTAACCCTCACCCTCGACACCCATCAGAAGCTACATAAATCAAATAAACAAACAAACAAACCAGCAAAAGGCAGGAGCCTCAGAAGGCTGGCCACTTGGATGCAGCCAGGAATGTGAGAACCATTTAGTTTGCTTAATTTAAACCAGTTTGATATGGATCTACTTACTTAAACAATCCGTTTCTATTATTTTCTTGAGTTGTGAAATACTCTTGTACATTAAAAATCTTCCCCATCAAAGCACAATTTTATGAGGTGGATGCATAATTGGCTAGCTGTTTATTGTATTGATTCTGTAGTTTGAGGGTTTTTGTTTTTGTTGTTTGATTTTTTTTTTAAGAATAGAGTATAGGAAGGGCAGCTCTGTTTTTAGTTTTGGAATTTCCATCGAGAGCTAAAAGCTATATCATCTTGGAGTATTTTTTTTCAGAAACCGAAGCTTACATTTAATTAGTAGCTCCAATTACAGCTCCAATCTTTCAAAACTCAATAAATTTGACTGATTTGAAAGTTCTGTTTAACCTAATGTGTTTGTGAGTTTAATGGCTACTACATAGTAAATTAAAACAAAATGCCCTGGATAATTATTCTCTAAACAAGAACTAATAGATTATTGTGTAAATAGTGTAAATAACATAGAACAACACATTTCTCAGTTGCCTGTCCTTTGTTGTTCCACCATGGGCCTTGAAATTGAAATAGTTGAGAAACCATTAATAAGACAGACGAGTGTAAATTTAGTCATGTAATCAGTTTATCACCTTTTAGGCACAGGGTTATAATTATGCTTTTTTAGTAAAAGAAGAAAGGCTCAGTAGCCTGATTTTATGTCAAATGCATGTGTATGCGCTCGTGCTTGTGTGTGTGTGTGTGTGTGTATGACTTTTGTGCATGCACTTGTGTGCTAATGAAAACAGGTGCACATGACTGTGTGCCCAGGTACATGTAGAAGCCAGTGGTCAATATCAGTTGTCATCTTCAAATGATTCTCCAGCTTATCTTTGGAGTCAGTGACTGAACCTGAAATCCACTGAGTAGCTAGCCTGATGGCCAGGACACATGAGGTATCTCAGTCCCCTCAGGTTACATATGCAGACCACCATGCCTGGATCAATGTAAATGATGGAATAACAACTCAGATCTTTGTGGTTCTATGTAGGCTGGCACTTTAATGATTGAGCATCTCCTGTGATCCTCCTTCTTTATTATCATGTGGAAGGCCCTATTCCCAGCATGTTGCATCTGAACTTTAATATGTTGAGGGGCAGGATATAATTTCTAAAATGCTTTGCTTTGTTATAAGTAAGCTTTGAACCACTGAAGTCAACAACATTATATTTGGGATGCCTTACTTCTTTGTAGTAGTTCATCTATTATGTCAGTAGGTATGTCCCCTCTCCATCTTTTTTCCATGTTGGTTTATTTTTCTTTACTTTTATTGGTCAGACCAGTTTAATGAGATTCTAGACTTTTCTTATTTTAGAATTAAGGAGATT